ATTCCTACCCAGTTTGTAAGGGAACGTATCTCGGATTTAGTTTGTGAGTCTTATTATATTTAAGTAAATAATTGAGTTTGTTACCTAATTTGTATTTTAGGAACATATGCATTTTATATGTCTTCATAATGCTATTAATAATCAGAATGAGAAGAAGAAGGAGAAGGAGAGGGAGAAGAAGAAGAAGAAGAACAACAACAACAACAACAACAACAAGACCTTATCAATCTATTTGGGGGAGATTCTGTTTTTGCTCATTTGTTACGCTGTTCCAGTTGAAATGTTTTGGAGATAATTGAGTTATTAATAATTATTGTTCTTTTTTCACAGGCCAAATGGAAGGCAGGTAGTGCTGGGTGTCCATTCTCTGAGTGAACCTGAAGAGACGAAGCAGACATTTGATATCATGGAACTTTACAGTCACCCAGACTTCAAGGCGTCAAATTATGATAATGACATTGCTTTAATCAAGGTATCAGCGGTACTGAAATGTAAACTGCTATGATGTTCTGTTTGTAGAACAAGCCAACAACAGAACTATGGATATTAAGCTTATTCTATTTTTTAACAATTTTCTTGATTTTTTTCAGTTGGATCGTCCATTCAACATCTCTGAGGCTGTTAAAGCAGTGCCATTCCTGCAAACAGGTGGCACAAACCCCGGCAGAGATGAAGAGGTGGACTCGGCTGGATGGGGGTCCCAGGATGATCTGGGGTCCAGGCCAGACAAGCTGAAGGAGGTGGTCATAGAGATGGTCAGCTCAGTCCGGTGCAGACGCAGCGACTACTTTGGCAGGAAGTTCACCAACAACATGATGTGTGCTCATAAAATTTGCCCAGACCCCTGTGACCAACCTGACAAGAAGGAAGACACGTGTGATGTAAGGTTTAGTTATTCTCTTTACTGAATTTTAATGATTCTTCACATACGGGAGAGACAGCATCAAGTTTGGAAGGCTATGAGTAAAGTTATGCATTGGGGAATGGAGTACTCAGATATTTTACTTTACTTGTAAAAGAAGCTATACTACAATGAAGAAGAACTCTGTTACATGTACAATTCCTGCATTCTAAATGCACTTAAGTAAAAGTGAAGAAAAAAAGTACTCAAAATGCATGATGGTCCATTCCACACTAATATCTATGTTATATTGAATTGGAAGTATTGATGCATGAATATGTTTATAACTTTTTATTTTATATACACTGCGGGAAAGCTTGTGAATCAAAACAATCGATTAATAATATGTTATCTCATGATCTGTATAGAATATATGATGAATATATTTTGATTATATTTTGTATTATTCATCAGAATCTAACTAAAGCTGTCAAATATTTTTTTTTTAGTATTGCATTATAATAGAAAGACATTTAAATACCCAAGTAAAGTAAAAGTATCACATGTATTGTTGTGTCTTTATTAAAAGTTCACAGATGGGATTTCCCCCCTTTTCTACAGTATGATGGCATCTTTAGGTTGTTTGGCCTAAAGGACATGTTCTTTACCGATGCTAATATTGTTATCCAGCTTTTAAATTGAAAACTTGCAGTGAAAGTGTGTTTCTGTTGTCTCTCAGGGTGATTCTGGAGGTCCTCTGCTCTACAACGGTATCGCAGTGGGCATCACTTCCAACGGAGGAAAGAAATGTGGCCAGATTAAAAAGCCAGGAATTTACACCATCATCTCCCTCTACACTGAGTGGATCACCAGCACCATGGGCCTGCAGCCCACTGAAGCAGTTGGAAGTTAAAAAAATCCTGCTTTCACTGACGCTCTAGAGATTGATCTGCAATACTGCAAACATACATTTAAAAATAGATTATCCATCACGTTATAAAGGAAACAAAAAAGTACAGTTTATCACATTCAGATGTCTGCCTTGATTTCTTACTTACCGTGTAGAATAAGTGTTTTGGATTAACAGGCTTTATTCTATACTTTATTAAGTCCTTAAATTGAGTATAAATGAAAGCTGCACAATAAAGAAAACTGAACACATTTTTAAGGGCAATCTTGTTTATCCATTTTTAATCAGATTGTTGGCACATGAGTCCATCTGAAGGATGATGTTAAGGATGTAACTGTTAGGCAATCAATATATCAACAAGCAAATCTTCTAAATGTGTCAGATAAGTCAAGGGAAAATCCAAAAGTGAATAAATCCGGCAGCTGTACTTCTTCTTTTACTCCTCTTTATGCTCAATAAGATAGCACATGATAAATTCCTGAATTTGTACATTTGAGGATAAACTCAGTTCCCTCACTCACAAGCATTTTTTTCACTCAAAAACCAGTACTCTCTACAAGCACACATCTCTTTGTCATGCACCAAAAAACCAACAGACGCTTATATTTATATTTAGACCTTTACTTGATCATGTCCTGGAGATGAACACAGACCATAACCACTGCAGGAATAATTTACCTTGAATCTTAAATCAAATCAAATCAAGTTTTATTTATATAGCACATTTATAAACGATTTTTGTAAAAAAAAATGCAGTACGTGAGTCCCTATAATATTGTAGAGATGTATCTTCCTAAAATGTAGTACATTGCATTACAACAGCGTTTCCAAAGTGAATGGCCTATTTAAAGTGAACATTATGAACTGAACCATTATGGGGTTCAGTAAAACTCCTAATCATTTGGCCTGGTTCGGTTTCCTTTACCAACCTGACTCCATTGGTTTGCTGCTCTGGGCACAAAAAGCAGGCATCCTGTGATTGTTCATGTCCCACATGGTGTCACCACAATTGTCTTTATTAGTGCTGAATCTGCCTTGCTGTAGAGATATAAACTAAAGTCATTAGAGCCAAGACATGCAGGTCAAATGTGAGACAACTTCCCTGTGAACATGCTGTTTAGCATACAAGACACAAAAAGGACAATCTGTTAAAACGTTTAATGATTAGTTTTGCTGAAGATAAAGTCACAAAATGACAGCGTGTAAAACAATAACAAACAAGAAACAAACATGAAATGATCATTGATTGCACATGCATGTATATAAATATTCGCAGAGACAAAGCTGTAGTATATGAAGGAGTTCCCCCTACATACTCAACAGCTGGGATTACTGAGGGATTGCACCATCTCCCTGTGCTGCTGCGCACTGCTGCCTCCAGCTGTCAAAACGAAAGGGCCCGAACAAGGCAGTACTACAGTGTAAAACGGGGGGGATATGTTTGTCAAATTCGTAACATTTATTTTTGTTAACTGCTTTATTAGGCCAAAACCTAAATAAGGTGCTTTATTACAGAGAAATGTTTTAATTAATAATAATAAGGGTTACATATTCTAACTATTAGCCCCAAAGATTTAAAATATATTCTGAAAGCCCCTACGCATTACATGGTCTGCACCGTTGCTATGCTATCCTTTGTAGACATTCTCCAGGGTGATGAAAAAGATGTAGCCTAGTTATTCGTCCTGAGAAATAAATAACGTTGTTCGGTTAAATACGTTAATTGTGTGAACTGTGGCAGCAATAACCATGGCTGGTTTGAGGCGAGTGAACGGGAAAATCTCGGGAATTAACCCGACTGTCAGGTAATGTTAATATCGAATTGCGTGGACAGAAAACGCCTCAGTGAAGCCGTTGAGCTAACATGGCTAACGTTAGCATTGTCCGTTATTGGCATAGATGTAATAAGAAAACAACATTGTTAGTTGTCGTTAAGGGCACTGTTTATAGAAACGTTAAGGGCCTAACGTTAGAAAAGTGTCTACCACACTGATACTTCATGATATACTGGTTTGCTGGTAAATCTATGCTTCAAATTAATAATTCAACGTTAGCTAGCTACAGTAGTGGAGACATGACACCCATTCCTAGGTATTCCCTGCACATCTGTCAGTTGTCTTTTTATTGCCCAAAACGTCAAGCTAACGTTGATTTTTAACGGTTTATTTTGGGATCTGTGGTAATCAACGTTAGCAACCCCCAAAACAAACCAACAAAACATCTTAATGTTAAATATGTCCGTCAACGTTTACTCAATGTATTGTTAATTTAACGTTAACGACTCATGTCATAACTTAATATTGTTTTTAGTGTGCTGAAACAATGTCAAAATGTTGAAATCTTGTCTGTTTTTAATAAGAAACTGTTGTCAAAATATGTGGTGATCGAAACATGTTTAATGTTGTGGTGTCGAAAAAAATTGTGTAAAATCTTTGGAAAACTGACCTTAGCTTTCATACTGTCTTATGAATGCAATATATTGTATTTCCTTAATTTTCTATTTTTTATCAAACTTCACACAAGGTCCAACATGCTGTTTTATTTAGGATCATTGGTATCAAACTCTGTTATGTGGCCTAACTCTTTGAAAACATCAGTTAAATCGGACTTTGTATTTCCTTTCTTAACCTTGACTTTTATTAAACTGCTCTTTTTGGAGTGACAAGTGAACATTTTAGCTCAATGTTCACCTGAACTTAAAGTAAATACCTAATAAATGACTGTGTACCTTGTTTTTATTGTGACATTTCCCAGTTGCAGTCGCCTGAGTCAGGTCCAGTCTCTGCTCTGCGAGGCTGGCACTGTTCCTGATGGCATCCTGTGCTCTCTTGGTATGTTAAGTTTATTTTTTACCTTTATGTCTTTATCTGGTTAACGGCACTACCAACTGTTCAGGCTAGAGGATATCATGTGTAATGTGAACACGTGTTGAATAAAACAATTTGCATGGTTGATTTAAAATAAACAACAAATATGTATACATTCTTGTGTATTTTAGGAATTGACAGCAGATATAATGAGGGGTGCACTGAGCTGGCTAAGTTCCTGTTCTATGGACTATATGGAAGAAATCATTTGAATCTGGAAAATGCTCTTGAGGATTTTCCTGAAGAAATGCTAGATGGTGAGTTTTCAAGTGATGTTAACTATGTTTGTTTTTCACAGTTTTGAGGCAGCTTTAATTTTTGTAATCCACTCTGACACATTACTTGTCTGCTTCCAGATGTTATCTTGCTAATAAAGGCAGATTGTGTTCATCTGTACTGCAACCCAATGAACTACAGTTACCTGTTGCCCTACGTGTCCCACTGGAGGAACCTGCAGCTCTACTGCATGACAAAGGCGGAGGTAAAAAGCCATGTTGATACCCTACAGGCCTATATTTTCTGATAATTATAGTTCTTGTATGCTTATTTAAGAGTATTGAATTAATCAAGAGTAATTAGGCATGTTAATGTATCCATCTGGCTTTATTTGAACCCGTTTGGGTCACTTTGTGCGCATGTCCATTAGAAAAGTCCTTTTGAATATTACACTTTGTCAACAGGGACTGCACAGTGAAAGGAGCAGATTGACTTTCTTTAACAAAACTGTTGTTCCAATATACACGCAATTTGTGCACAGGTGGCTAGCTTCTTCAGATAATGATTGCCTTTGTTGAATTGTATTTATGACTCCTTGTAGCAGTGTTTGTGACTGGTATTCCTGAGATGCTTTTCTAATTTGTCTACCTCTGTACTTTTCAACCTCCACACAGTATGAAGATGAGGAAGCAGCAGAGGAATTCAAAATCTCCAGTTTTGTCACAATGGTGCAGGACTGCTATCGTATCGGTGTACCTTTCAGCTCCCAGGGTAAATATCATCTGTTTTAAACTCCACATTTATCAGAAGCAGAAACATGTTTATTTCCGCATAGTTTTACCCATGTAGGACATTTGCTTTGGTGTACAATGATGCATACATAAACACTGTAGAATAATTAAGTTGCAAAGAAAGAGGGAATACAAAATAAAATGTATACAACATGAATTAAACTGAAAGAGCTGTGCAGTTTTAACAGAGGTAGCTTTGAGCAGACATGTCCTAAATATACAGACTATGTGCCAGGTTCTCAGTATTTTCAGTCTGGATGGCTCACATGATGTGCATTAATGTAACTTCCCACACCAACTCCATGACATCTCACTAAGCTGAAATGTGATTGGTCCTACTTGACAGCGTTTTCTTATATTTTTTTTTTATGAAATGAACATAACAACACATGTAATTATACTTGCTCTTCTTTTATTTTTAGGACACATCCAGAATTTTGATATGTTCATGTTGGAAAAGTGGCCGCTGATTCAAGCATTTGCCCTGGAAGGCATTGGTGGAGGAAGCTTCTTTACCATGAAACACAAGGTATCTTCAAACAACCTAAAACATAAATGTATTATTGTCAGCTCTAAAGTGTTGCAAAGGAAAATGCATTTCATACGGAAAGTATTTGTTGCACTACATTATACTTGTTACAGCTTGTTTGGTATATTCTTGCTTTTGCAGATAATGGACATGAGTGAGAAGCTGTGGCAGGTTTACAACAGACTCGACCCAGTGTCCATTGATCATCTCCTCATAGAGGTCATTTTGAGCTACTTCTTCTTCTGCTGTTTGAATTTTGAAAATATTTTGTTGAACGTTTTCTTGTCCAGAAGTTCTTTAATTATGTTGTTTAAAGTGAACATGGTTTTGTTTGTCAGTCAGTTGATGAATGATGCATTTAATTAACTCTTAAGTTAGTTTTAAAGGCACAACAATATTTTTGGCTGTCCATAAGTTCTATAAGTTCTGTTTTGAATGTAAAGGTTTGAACATGACCATCAGTTCGATATGCGCTCTAACCTTGGTGTTGTTTGTTGTATTTTAGGACCTGGTTAACTTTGAGAAGCAATGGAGTGGCTTTTTCTCCAGCATGGACCTGGAGAGCCATCTGTCTATCTTGGAGCTTTCTGAAGCGCAGGCAGGAGAGGTACGTTTGTTGTCATTTTCCTACAAAAAAAAAAGCTGGACCCAGCAAAGGAAATAGATCCATTACATGTCCGCTTAAACTACTTCTCATTCTTTAGCTGTATACTTTTAAATGACATAGTTCAATGTCTTGCAGTCAGCTTTTTGTACATGTCTGCATAATGTTTTTTTCTCTTGATCCCCAGTCATTCCGTACTTATTACTCTCATGGACTGATCTCAAGCAACATCACAGATAAAAGGTTTTTGTTTCCTACTCAACAATATCTAAATATTGTAATTTTACTCATCTGTAGTTTGTGGAAAAAACTCCATTGCCTAATCAAATGTTTCTATATTTCAGTAAAAGTCAGCAGCCCTTCGTGTTGTTTGGGAAGCACTCGTCTTTAGAGGATTTGGAGAGTTATTCATTTAACTTTCCCTCAGAGAGTCATCAAGTCCGCAACACAGGACCGCCG